TAGCATTCGGTTTCACGTTTACCTTCTCCAGTTTCTTCCATGTTCATTAATAGGAGGAGATGTCTGAAGGACCTGGCATCACGGCCAGGGTCCTTCCATAGGAGCTTCCGTAAGATCTGCTGCTGAATCCACCACTTCTGTATCCATCCCCTCCACCAGCAGAGTACCCGATCCGTCTGTATCCTCCAGAACTATATCCTGTGTGACCATGACCACCTCCATATCCAGAGGAACCATATCCACCACCATATCCACCACTGCTGTATCCACCATCATATCCACCACCATACCCACCACCGCCGTACCCAATGCTACCGCCATATCGGTGGCTTCCACTCACTCGGCAGCCACCAGTCCAACCACCTACCATACTGCCCCTTGTTCCACTGAGGCCATAATGCCCACCAGTCCCAATGCTGCCTCTGCGACCACTCGTGCTGCTCCCTACTCCACCACAGATAGTGCCTCCAGTTCCAATACTACCTCTCCGTCCCCCCACTCTAACTCCTCTTCTGCTACCTCCACCCCAACCTCCTGTGGTGATCCTTGTTCCACCAGAGAGCAAACCACCATGCCCGGTGCCCTCAACTCCCCCAGTGCCTAAATCACCCTCAGTGATGCTGCCTGTCCCAACACTGCCTCTCCGAACACCCATCGTGCCCCCTACTCCACGATGTCTACTCCAACCAGCTGTAGAGCCCCCAGCTCCAACACTTCCTCTCCGACCACCAACAGTGCCCACTACTCCGCTACCTCCACTCCAACCTGCTGTGGTACCCCTTGGCCCACCGATGCCCAGACTACCTCTGGGTCCAACTACTCCTCCGATGCCCAGACCACCACTTCTGGGTCCTTCAAGCCCTCCAATGCCCAGACCTGTGGGTCCTCCAGTGCCCAAACCACCATGTCCAAAACCGCCCACATCTCCTACTCCACCAAGACCCAAACCACCACCCATCCTACTCCCTATTCCACTCCCACCACGCCAGCTACCACCCCAACCTCCTCTTCCAGGGCCCAAAGCACCCATGCTCCCTCCAACAGTACCCTCAATGCCAATGCCACCGCCACCTCTCCCCACCATGCCACCAAAGCCTGCACATGGGTTGTGTTGTTCAATGCCAAAGGCTTGGTCAGGGCAGTACAATGCTGGTCCTGGAATATTTAGGACAAAAGGAGGTGGCTGAATTGTGACGGTCGAGGCAGGACAGCTGGCGTAGCACTCGGACATCATTGTGGGAGGACTGTTGCTCTGAAAGAGCGAAAGAGAGAATCAAGGGCTTAATTCAGAAGAAGTTGATCAACGGGGAAGAGTTTCCAGGCTGATGCCATTGGTAGAAAGAATGCTAATGAAGCCATTGAGAGTCAGAAGTACTATAGAATTCGCTTTGCCCGATTTCAGAATTATTTCACGCGCAATTCAGGAATAGAACCAATACAGGACATGGTGTCTTTAAAGGAAGAGGAGAATCATCCTCTTTTGTTGACTCACCATCTGGTCCAGATATTAGAGTGCATCCCCCCCCCCCAATTTGGCCAGGGTTGAATGGAGTTCCTTCCAACAAGTTCTGGAGGATCATAGTTGGACCAATACTTGAGGTTTTTCAAAAGCCTTACTTTCTTTATTGTGACGGTGAATGGTACAACTACTTGAGCATCTGTCTTACCTTGGTTCCTCAGGATCTTAAAACTCTAGAAGACAGGACAGAAGACTTCTTTTGCCTCTGCAGTGAAAAGAGAGAGATGCAAACTAAAAGCACCCATCCCATCATTTCAACAAAGTGGTGAAATTCTCCTTCTAAACATCTCCTAACTGGGAACATTGCCAGATCCCCACCACCCAAAGACATGAAGCAGGCGCAAGAGAAGTGGAGTTGTCCATCTCAAGGACATCCCCTGCTCATCGTTCCGATCACCCTCGGTCTTAAGGTAGAAGACACCTGCTCTGACTCACCTCGTTCTTCCCGGTGGAAGGATCCAAAGACTTCTGAGAGGTGCTGAAGGAAGGTGCTGAATGTCAGACTTCTTATACCTCTTGGTCCACCATTAGCTGAGCGTGACTCACCACTGGGCTTGATGCCAACCCTTGACACCTGAAAAGACATTAGGATGGAGCAATCCCCTGCGGTGGACTCCCCCAAGGATTGGTTATCAATGCAACAGTAACAAACAACTGCTGGGTTGTGTGTCTGCTCACTTTTTCTTCTCTGGATAATAAGGTCTCCACCCAACAAGGTTGCCCAAGAAGAGTAATGAATTTTTAGCCTTAATACTTTAAATGCTGGGGTATCTCACTTAGGCACAGCTGCGTAAACACACCTTGTGTACCATCCCAAACGTGTCATGCCTACTCCGATTGTTCTTAATCATCAGGTGCATCTGAAGTCGTCGGAGATCTCTTGGTTCCATTTCTTGAAGACGCCCAACCGTTCAACAAAATTGAACACCAGAGGATTTGGGTTCCTGAGCTTCCTATCGGCTTTGGAGTTCGCATCGCACAATTCTGGCCACTACCTTCAAAGATTAGGAAGATTGGAATAAAGGATGATTAAAGCAGAGAAGGGGGATTCAGTGGCTCAGATGCTGAGCTTGTGGGTCAAAAATATAGTTCAAATCCGTAGCGCCGCCTAACGGAGGGAGCTCCCGTGACTTGTCCCAGCTTCTGCCAACCTAGCAGTTCGAAAGGACGTAAAGAATGCAAGTGGAAAAATAGGGACCACCTTTGGTGGGAAGGGAACAGCGTTCCATGCACCTTCGGTGTTTAGTCATGCTGG